ATATAATTTATTCAATCTATTTTATATTTTTTATGTATGGTTATATTTTTAAATTTATTTGTTTTTAATTTAATATAAAAAATAATAATTTTTTAATAAATATATTTGTATAATATATTAAACTAAATTATATATCAAATATTGTTACCTTCTTAATATTTTTTTAATGTGAAACATTTTTACTTAATATGTATGTCCCGCCATGCTGCTGCAGTCGTTACTCCCCCTTGGTCGTGCAACCGACCAACACGACACGAGCCACCAACCTTACCCACCTTGAAAGAAAAATGCACACATTTAAGCCCTTCTGACTCTTGCGATAGAAAATATTATTCTCTCTTTAAGCTGCATGTGATGTACATACATTAAATACAACTAATTCTACGGATTTCAAGACAAATTACCACTGCAACATATTATCTTAATGAATTTATCCCGTGTGGACAAGAAGAAAAGTCCATAAACAGCAGCAATCATATAATCACAATGAGTGCTGGACACTCATTGTGATTATATGATCAGATGCACCAATATATATATATATATAATCACAATGAGTTAATTCAGGTCATGTTAGGTTTAGTGAAGTCTATAATATACATTTTTTTCATGAAAAAAGATATAAAATATATAACGAGGGACATGCATGTTTTGAACTCAGAAGTTAGGTGCTTAATTCATGATTTGAATCACTAACTTTGGATTCTGATTTTTTAGACGAATGCGTAATTGTACGTTAATCAGCAAGAAAAAGTGGATTACTAAAATTATATAGCAAGTTTAGGAAAAAATATTATGCAGGTAAAATAAAACATTAGGGATTTTGTTCACCTGCTCAGATTATATATCGTTAAAATAAAACTAATATTGTTTTCTCATTTTGTAGGTATACAGGCGTACATGGCTAGCAGGGACATTAGAGATGACAATTATTATTATTATTATTATTATTATTTTATTAACTTTTTGGTATCTGATAGTCACATTAGATCCCGATTAATTTAGAATCGAACCCCGATTAATTTAGAATCGAACCGTATCAGATCTTATTAAGAGAGAAACTCTCTCAACATCTGTTTTTTCATTCACAAAACTCGAACTCAAAATTTTATTTAAAAGAAATCGAATTCTTTCAACTCATACCAACAGTTTTGTTGGTAGATATTACAATTATTAGGAATAGTCAAATATGGAATGAAAGTCGAAGTTAGTAGGGCAAGCCTTTTCTTCATGAGAAAAGAAGAACCATCTGTTCAATCAGAATAGGTTTTTTCAATTCTGAATTAATTAACAAAAACAATTTGCTTTACTATTAAATAAATACTTTTTCGGGACTGATTCTATAGCCACCCATTCATTCATAAGGTGGAAAGTGTGAGTTATTAAAATAATGAAGCAAATGTTTTACAAATTAGATTATATATTAAAAGTGGAGTTTAATATATAAATTTAATAAAATTATTATATATATTATTTTATTAACAGTAAATTAATCTTCTCTCAATTACTTAAAAAACATGAAATCTTTAAAATTATTTATATAAAAAAAGAGGAATTTAAATTTATATATTCAATATAATTTAAATCACTTTTTAATTAGTTGAGTCAATTTTGAAAACTTTAATAAATTAAATAATTAACATTTTAAAATATAGAGAAAATGAAAAAAGAATCGCATTTTAAAATTGACTCTTATTTTGTCGGTTCAAAGTTTCAACTGAAAACGCTACTATTAGTTTTCTCCAATTTTCAATTTTACTAGTAGTATAGTACATCAAGTTGTGACTAAATTGCAAAGTTAATGAAGTGTTTTTTGATCAGCCAAGAAAAAGGCCGCTTATTAAACAAAGTACAAACAGATTAAAACACACATCTCCAATACAAAAATAGGAGTGCTACCGACATTCTTTATCTACACTCTTCATCAACACTCATAATATGATTGGTTAACATAGCATATATTTCTCTATCATATTGTGAGTGTTAATAAAATAAGAGTACATTTAATAATTTAAATAACTTAATAATAATCTCCTTTTGTTAGAAGTAAAAATAATAAAGATCATGAATTTAAATCATATAATATATGAATAACGTAAGTTAAATGATAAAAGAGAATTGTTTTTTATTATACAACTAAAATAAATAATAAACAAATAAAATAAGAGTACATAAACCAACACTAACATTTCTCCCTCAGAAATAAAGCACCGTCACCATATAAGAATCCAAATACAATGCCATCGGCAGCAGATACCTGCCCCCTGTACCAGATAACAATGCACTACAATGAAAAATCCCAAAAGATTTGCTTTAAATTGGAGAAAAGTATAAGAATCTTTGCTAGCCAAGTGATAAAAGCAATAATTATAAGGAACAATAATTTTTTAGGAGGTTCACCAAATCTCCTCTTTTGCCATTTTTTCCTTTTGATTCTATTCACATTTCATAAATACACATAAATAAAAGATAATTTAATTTACAAATTATCATACCCCACCCCCTCAATCAACTTGCTTCCTAAAATATATATTTCATTTCACTTTTGTTATTACGAACAAAGAAAAAGTGCAACCTTGATGGCCAAAGAAAAATCACATTTTATTTTATCATCATTTGGAGCAGGTAGACGTTTCTCATGAATAGTCAAAAAGGCCATTTTATGTCCTTGGTTTCTGGATCCTGTTGCCACAAACCCAATCTTTCTTCTTTTTTTTTCAAAAAAAAAAAAAGTTGCTGACCCAATTGTTTGTATCCTTAACAAGTTGTGTATCCTGTTGCTCAAAGGAAAAAAGCCCCTAATTCTTACAGTTTTTGAGTTTCACATCGTGGGACGTGGATGTTAATCGAGTTTGTGGAAAATAGTAGTAACCAACTGTTACCAAAAAAAAAAAAAAAAAATAGAAATCACATTCTCTGTCCTGGTTCTGCTGTCTGTTGCAACCTTAATGGAATTCCTTTGCCCTATAGGAGAACCTCTATAACCACAAGGAAAAAGAATAAAAACTTCAAACGCCAACTGGTGACCAAAAGGCTTCACTCCCCGTTTGCTTCTGACGTTTCATGAGTCAAAGATTCTGATGTTTCCTGAGACACAGATCCTAGTTAGATGCAAGTAAATGACACTTAAAAATGTATTTAGTTCCGACATTGTACCTGTATTTCTTCCCTCAGTTCCTCAAGTTCGACTATTATCTCGGAGAAGGAAGGTCGTTTGCTGGGAACCGTTTCCCAACATTTCTGCATCAGGTCTAGGAGTTTCGGATGTGCATTTCTTGGAAATTCTGGACGCATGCCCTATTAAATAAAATTTAAAACCTAATTACAAGCATAGTTATGTGAACAAACCTAAGTGCCAATTTCAAACGGTCCAATGGACAGGGATACACTGGTAGTGGAATTGAAATTGACTTTCACTTTAAGCTGTCCCTTGTTCGCTTTACGAGTTCAATTCAATTCAATTCAATTCAATTCAATTCAAATTTCATTTTGAAAAATGCCGAAGTAATGTACAAAATAATGGCATAACCATATATAGATGAACAGACCTGTCTCACTCCCAAGGCAGCTTGGAGAGGAGTCATGGTTTCATATGG